GGGGGTTAAAGGTGCTGCCGTCTGTTGGCTTGAGGAAATCGTTGATGTTGACAGTCTGAGCGGGGGGGATGGGAGGATAGGATCGGAGGTGAGAAGATCGGTGGATTGGAGGAAAGGATGTAAAATGCGGTGCAGTGGGGTGACGAGGGGTGGAAAAGGGGCAGAAGGCGAGGACAAAGACTAGACTTCCTTGAAAAGGCAATAAAGACAGAATGAGCACAAAGAGTGGTTTAAATTGAAAACCATCTACCATGATTTGAATGTGTGAGGAGTGCAATGTACATGAGAGGGAAAGAGGAGAGGGAAACAGAAGGAAAACCCAACCAGTGAAAGTGTGAGGATATCACAGTGGGGTACCCAACCAGTGTTTCTGTGTTCCAAGACCCGAGCCGAGCATACCCCAAGAGTGATACCTTTCAGCAAAACCCGGAACCCAGCCCGTACACACGAGCAGACACATCTTCGTACGGCTTACCTTGGGCCTGTCTTCGTCGTCTGTCTTCTCCCGCTTCTTCACAGCCTTGTCAGCGGCCTGCAAGGGGCGGAGAAGGAAAGTTAAGTTTCAAGGGTACAGGAGAGGGGCAGGGAGGGAGAACGGAGGGAGAGACGAAGGCGGGAGTGAGCGAGAATGAGCGAGGGAAGAGAGGAAACGAGTTGAGGGGAAAGAGATTAAGGAAGTGAGTAAGGGATGCAGTGAGCAAGGTAAGGGAGCGGGGAGGAGGGGGGGAGGGAGCGGGAGAGCGAGGGAGGGAGCGAGCGAGAAAGGAGGAAGACAGGACGAAGTGCAGCGTGACTCACGAGTTTGACGAAGACAGCGTCCTCATCGACGTCCTCCTACTTGTGCACCGCCATGGCCGCCATCTCAAGAGCGAAGCGAGAGAGGGAGGAGCGACGGCGTGCGGGAGCGAGGGAGCAAGCGAGGGAGCTAGGGAGCGAGGGAGCTAGGGAGCGAGGGAGCTAGGGAGCGAGGGAGGTGTTTGCTTACGAGTTTGACGAAGACAGCGTCCTCATCGACGTCCTTTTTCTTGTGCACCGCCATGGCCGCCATCTCCGGGTCAACCTCCACCTTGCGCGCCTCCGCCGTGCGGCTCGCCGCCAGCGCCTTGCGCTTCTCCTCGCGCACCTTCTCGTACTCCTCCAGGGTCATCTCCTGATGGATAAGCAGGAAGGGGTAGAGGGTGGGAGGGAAGGACGATAAAAGAGTGAGCGGCGTACGATGGCTTGTGCTTCACCCTACTCGTCTTGCTCTCCAGCTCTGCAGCCCGGAGACAAGTGGCACGGGAAATGACGGAAATCTCGTACTAGCTTCGTTTAAGTTCTGCGGTGAAGAGTGCGTTTGAGAAAGTTAGATAAAAATGCGGCGTTCAGGGCGGTGGACGGGTGGAGCAGCGCACGTGGCTCCGAACTGAAAGATGCCCAATGCATCGGGTTTTGGGGACAACATTATTGGATGGGGAGTACAGGGCAAACGCATCAAACCTTGTAAACGCACAAGGTCAATCGTATGAAAAACGAGTCACGGCTCACCTTGTCCTCCTCCTCAGCAGGGGCGGCCTCAGCGGCAGCCTCTCCCGCAGCAGCATCGCCCTCAGCAGCAGCCGCCTCTCCCTCCGCCGTTCCGTTGGCCTGCTTGACCTCGCCTTCCTCGCCCGTCTCCTCCTGATCGCTGTAGGGCAAGCAGCACAAACAATGTACCAGCGGGTGAGGAAAATGGCACAGGGCGGAACTATTAGCGACACTTGTGAAGTATCGGGAAGGAGGTTTAACGAGGGTAAAGAACACTCCTCCACAGCAGTCGCCGCATTTGCCGGTCTGATGGACAACGGAGCAAGCGAAACGAAGCGGGCAGTAGCATCAGCGAAAAATTGACCTCACAGAAGAGCAAAAGCCCTTCTCAACGTATATTTAAGCTCTTAACGAGCGACATCACGCGCTACTGCATGTTTGCACATGACTTCACGAGATTGACTGCTCTAAATGAGTAGCTTCCTGTGCCAATGAATGTTTGTCGAAACGGCACCCATGACGCAATGAAGGTAGATAACAGTAGAAGCTATAAGGTGTAGTAGCATCAGGAAAAAGGTGTGCTCAGTAAAGAGCAAGCGCTCTTTTCAACGTATATTTAAGCTCTTGAAGAGCGACATCATATGCCACTGTAAAGAAAGCTACGGAGCTCATAGAAAGGAATGTGAGTAACAGCACCTGGGACAGGAAGAAATAGAGACACCGAAAACACTCTAAATAATCTAAATACAAGGAAAAAACCCACAACGACGACCAGACTCCAACGGACGTACCCCGTTTGCGGCACCTCGTCGGCTCGCCCCCAGTTGCCGCGTCCGGCACCGTCGCGCTTCATCTCGTGGCTGCAGATCGAATCAATGCAAGAAGAGAACAGGAAAAGAACCCGAGAAACGTCACTTGATTAGATCGTCGACGATTAGGTGATAATCGAACCTAGCCGCTTCTTCATTTCCAAGCATCGTCGTGTAGCCAAGAACTCACCCACGGCCAGTGCCGCTGTGCCTATCGAATTCCCGACGAGGTCCCCTCCGCTCCCCGTCGCCTCCCCGGGAACCTCCGCCAGAACGACCGCGACCGCCATAGCCGCCACCACCGCCGCCGCCGCCACCACCACCGCTGCGGATTCCGCCACCGCCGCCGGACACCTCGCCATCCTCTCCGCGCAGCTGTCGGTTCCTGTATGGCTGTCCGCCATCCTGGCCCCCCTCCGCGGGGTATGAGCCCCCCCGTCCGCCTCCCCGTCCGCCTCCACCACGACCTCCGCCTCTTCCAGCGCCGGCTCCGCGACCGGCGGCTGGCGCAGCAGGTGTGGGCTTCGCGGCGGCTGCTGTCTTAGCAGCAGGCTTGGAATCTGGATGGAAAAAATCGACGAGACCGCAGAAAAAAAGAACCTCAAGGTTGTCAGATTGATCAAATGCAACCCTGCAGTTGTATGGATATGGTGAAAAGGCGGCTGCAACAGTGACTACATTGGTGGATACCTTTCTTAGGAGCAGCTGCTGCTTTCTTGGCTTGTTCCTCCTCAGCGCGAGCCAAGAAGACCCCCGGATCCTCTACTTCGTCTCCCCCCAAAAGGGAGAAGAAGTTTGCTGACGCCATTTCTACCAGAGATAAGCTAAGCTGTAGCTGTTGTATCAGCTAATGAAAGATAAAACTACTAAAATCCTCCGATCATGAGCACAAAAATCACGAAGTTTGTTTAGAGTAAAAAGGCAAGTAATACCTACTCCGGGAGTAAATATTTGAGTTAACCTAGGAGATTTCTATTGAGCTCCCTAAGCCTAAGGGAGGAAGGAAATGGGCAAGGATTCTAAAAGAAATCCAGGAAAGAGGAAGATGTGAGACATGGTGCTGAGGGCGTGTCCAGCGCGTACATTTTGGGAATATTAGTACCTTCACACGTTTCCCGGCTAAAAAAATATCACTGTACCAAAAAACGAATATAAGGTGAGTCGAGTCCGAAGGATTGGGCCTTCCAGCGCGCGGACACAAGCCTCTGCACACAAATTTCTACAGTTCGTGGAAAACGAGGTAACTGGTTGCCTCGTCTATCATCGCACAGAAATTCACGCACAAGCGAAAATTCCACGCTTGAACGAAAATTACTGTAGCGGGCAGGACGCAATGCTGTACCCTTGTTCGCGCGCACACTGATTCCAGTAACGTGTGTTAGACGATTCGTCGTACGCGCAGCGGGCGTGCCGTCTTGTGAACGGAAGCTGATCGTGTCCAACCTTTTTGTAAAATGCAGTGTTACAATAGGAAATGTGGTAACTGAATGGGTTTATGAACTGTAAATGTACGCGCTGGACACGCCCTGAGAAATATTCGAGCTGGTCTGATGGGGATGGAACGGGATGGGAGGAAAGGGGGGAGGGGGGAAGGATGACAAGGGGAAGGAAGGGGTGCGCAAGAGCATTTGCGAACCAGAAAACCAGGGGAAGGGGAGGGAGGGGTTGAACCAGGGGGTGTTCTGCGCCGAGTAGCGGTGTTCTGCGCCAATTAGCGAACTGGCGCTGATGAGCTGACGCTGGCGAGAATCTGTGTCACCCACATCCAATTACAGGCCACATTGGACCTGGTGGGGCCATTGGGCTGATAATGACAGCACTCCTCAATCATGGGAGAGCCACGTCAACAAATGGATGAGATTTCTGGGTTTCTGCAATGTGGAGATGTATTGCTGTTGACGAGGACGGAACAACTACACTGATGAGAATGCTCATTACAGTATTCCTAAAACATGTTGATCCAATTCGTAATAATGAATGTGTTGATTCACTGTGGCAGGTCCCGATTTCAGATATCCGTCAAAGCGTACGGACGTCGCATGAGAGCGCGCACATGCTCACGACAAAGTCACACTTATTTCGCAAACAGCCTGCGTAACACGCCTGAACCGAAACCGCGGCAGGTCGCGTCACGCATGCTTGTCGTGCCATGCCACATTGAGGGCATCCCCGTTAGTGCCGCCATCTTGTTCAATATTCATGTCCAAAAAGTTTGCGACTGCCCCACTGTACTTTCATGCCGATTTCAGGACTTTCCGAAGTAGAAGCACTACCATACATAAAGTTCTCGAATGTTCGTCGATTCGTATGGTTCCACCTTCGCTGACAATCACCACCCTGGGAAGTGAGGGGGCAATTCTGAACAAGCCGGAACAAAACCTTCAAGCCTGCACAGCCTGACATCAGATTCCCAAGGAGCAACACCTCTGCTTCCAGCACCACATCCTTGGGAACCTGTCATTCCATCCCATTCTCTTGACCCACTCCAGTGGTGGTGTTTTGATCAACTCCCTCTTCCACGCATCTTTGCTTCTGTCTTTCTGCGTATTCGTGCTCACAGCTTTTATATTCAGAATGATTCCGAATTCCCAGTTACAGCGTAAGTAGTTGTTATGGACGGTCACGATGGATCGCCTGGGCTTTCGTCCCACTGTACTCACGTCTGGCCGCAAGTCGTCTTTCAAAATGACGGTCGCTGTCGTTCCGCTAGGTCGAACAGCCAGTCTGGTTTTAACCTTAATTCTTCTGCTGTGCTGGGGCGACGTTCAGCTATCGCCCGCGTTTCTCGGCGGCAATTTCGACCCGAACCGCACGTTCTTCTCACAGCAGCTGCAGCAGAAGCACCAGCAGCGTGGCCGAGCAGAGGCATGCGTGGAGCAAGACAGAGCAACTTGCCCTAGTACCGCAGCCGGGAGCGCAGCGGGGATCACGGAAAGATCACCCGAAGTTTGCGGCGAAGGCAGCACTTACCACGAGAAATACAGATCGTCGCTGGTGCTTCCGCTACAGGGGCTGACGACCTCGTTAAATCTCCTGCAAGTTCTACTCTTCGGGTTTGAGAGCTGCTCTAGCTCTAGTTTGCGCGATTGCGCATCGCGTCAAGGAAACCATGGATTTTCTACGTCATCCCTTTCAAGTCCTTCGACCCCAGAAGTGGGAAGCCGAGAAACGGGCGAGCCACGGCCGGGAGTCGCGCAGCAGCAGTCGAGAGGCACGGAGCAGAGAAGCCAGAGCGGCGCGGCGAGGATTCAGGCTGATGGTGATACGGAGATGCCGCACCCGCAGGGAATTGCTGAGAAAGCAGTAAAATTGGATGTGGTCGAAGCAACGGGTTCAAGGAAGGTGGCGGAGCCTTCGTCAGAAGCCACGGGTTCGGCTACTATCGAGGGTTCGGGGCAAGTTGGCGGTGCTGCGCCGGTAGATGCGGGCGCAATTGCGGCGCAAGCGGGTGCGGCGCAAGCAGGGTCCCCAACAGAAGCTGGGCCGCGCAGGACTGGGCGTCAAGAGGCGGCGCTTGGGGCAAGCGGCGCAGGGGAGCCGGGAAAGGTTGGGGGAACTGTGGCGGAAGGAAGAGAGGAGCGGCCCGTAGCGGGAGCAACGGCAACGGTAGATCCCACAGTAGCAGATACAGCAGCTGCGGGAACTGCAGCGGCGGAAAGAGCAGCAGCAGAGACAGCAGCCGCAGTGGAAGCAGCAGCAGGAGCAGCTGCTGCAGCGAAAGCCAGTCAAGCAGAGTCTTTCTTTGACGACGAAGACGCGGAATTAGCGCGGCCAGTGCGCGTGATCCCCCCCGGGCTAGACGCGTACAAGCGGGAATATTTTAACAAACAGAGGGCGGCGGAAGTAAACGAACCCCCCGCGGGGGTGATCCCCGCGGGAGTGCCCATCCCCCCCTCGGGAGTAACGTACGCTGGCGCGGTGCCAGGCGCAGCAGGCGGAGCAGCTGGCGGAGCTTCCGCCAGTGTACCCGCGGATGCGGTCGCCCCCGCGGGGGGCGCAGTCCATGCGCCTGGCGCTGGTTTTCCGCCCATGGGAGGAGGGCAGATAGTAGGCGGCGCAATGGGAGGAGCGCAGCTGGGGGAAGTGGTTGATCTGGGGGGAATTGGCGGAGGGATTGGGGGGATGGGCGGAGGGATGGGCGGAGGGATGCGCGGGGGAATGGCAGGCGGAATGGCGGGCGGAATGGGTGGTCAACCACCGGAATGGCCTCGTCGGAGACAGACGGGCACAGATAAGAGCCGGTACAACTATGCCTCCGCGAATCACGGCGCCAAGATAGTGGACTGTAGCAGCGAGGCGAAACGACCCCAGGCCGTTTTAGACGAGGATAAGGACAAGTACTTACGCATCCCGTGCAGTGTGGCGAACAAGTTCCTCGTTATAGAACTTTCTGAGTTCCTAGCGCGGATAGAAACTATCGTACTCGCGAACTACGAGTTTTACGCCTCTTCCACAAAAGACTTCGAAGTCTGGGCCAGTAGAAATTACCCCTCGGACCGCTGGCACTTTCTGGGAAACTTCTCAGCACAGAGCGTGCGGACGCCCCAGGCGTTCGAGGTGACAGGCAGCGGAGATCTAGGGGATTCAGTGCGGTACGTAATGGTGCGGCAGCTGTCGCACCACGGGGCGGAATTCTTCTGCACGCTGAGTCTGGTGCGAGTGCACGGGGTGAACGAGCTAGATGGGCTCAGAGAGGAGATGGAGGCAATGACGAGGATGATGGGGGCGGGTAGACAGGCTGTGCCTGCTGCTCCTCCGGGCAGGCAGGGTGTTGCTGCTGCTGCTGCTGCGCCAACGCTTCCGGTGGTTTCGCAGGCGGCTATCGCTCCAGTGGTTACCACTCCTCAAGCGGTTACCTTTCCTCCAGTGGTTACCACTCCTGAAATGGTTACCACTCCACAAGTGGTTACCATTCCCCAAGTGGTGACGGTGGGGTCTGTGGGCTTAGATGGTTCAGTGGGTTCAGAGGGTTCCAGAGCGGTGCCAGCCCAGGCAGAGGGGTCTGATCCACCGTCCACTGTTGGACCTTCTGAGCAATCGCCGCCACTCTCTGTGCCCGCCGCTGCTGTTGGTGCCGCTGCAGAAGCAGCAAGGGCTGCTGCTCCCACAAGCTCTGCCTTTTTCCATGAGTCTTCCCAACCTGTCCAGACTCCCAATCCTCTTCCTGCCTTTCCGCCTCCTCCTCCTGCTGCGGCTGCTGCTACTCCCAAAGATGCTGCCGCATCTGCAGCTTCTCCTGCTGCGGCTGCTGCTACTCCCAAAGATGCTGCCGCGTCTGCAGCTTCTCCTGCTGCGGCTGCTGCAGATGCGCCTGTTGCCACTTCCAGTGAGTCAGCAGTCGCTCCAAGCGACACAGGGGCGAGTGAGGAAGCTGGGAGCACAGGGGGTAGCACGGCCAACAATGGGAGTTCCACAGGTGCACGTGGCGCCATCGCACAACCACCAGTTCCTGGCTCTGTCCCTCTGGGAAACTCGCCTGCTGCGGAAACTGCCACTAGGAAGGCCGACGAGCTGTCTGGTGGGAGCAGTAGAGTGGGCGTAGAAGGAGGAGAAGAGGCAGGTGAGGTGTATGGGGGGGTGGAAGAGCGAGGTGTGTTGATCCAGCGCGGTACTGAGAGGGAGGGGGGAGGGAGCAGCGAGGGTAGCAGGGAGGGCAGCAGTGAAGTGGTGCCTCAGGAAGGAGTGGATTCAGTAAGGAGTATTGGTGGCAGTGGCGGTAGCAACAACATCAGTGGTAGAGGCAACGTCACGAGTGGCAGTAGCAGCACAGGGGACAGTGGTAGCAGCAACGCCACCACAGGGAGCAACGGAGGCTCGATTCAGAGCGGGGGGGAAGTGGAGGGGAGGGAAGCGGAGAAGCTGATGATAAGTACAAGGGCAAAGGGGACAGATTACAACGGGAGTGTTGAGGGGAAATCTGGTGCGGTTGCGGCAGGTGAAGCGGCTGGGGAGGAGGGGAGGGCGGGGGGAAGGCATGGGGTGGGCAGGTTGGGAGAGGGAGAGAGTGAGAAGCTGGCTGGGAAGGGAGAAGGTGCAGGATGTGCGTCAGTGGATGGAGCAGCAGGGCACAGAGGATCAGCAGCGGGTGCAGATCCTGCTTCTGGGTGTGATACTGGGGGAGGTGTGGAGATGGGTGCGGCTATGGTAAGAGACGGTTCCAATGAAGAAAAGGCACATTTTGATACAGGCTTGGGGGCAGGAGCTGAGGCAAGCGTTGAAGCAGGCGCTGTGGCAGGCGCTGTGGCAGGTGGTGAGGGAGGTGGTGGGGGAGGAACAGGGGAGGTGAAGCGTGAAGGCGGATTTTCAGCACCAGTGAGCGGAGAAGGTAGTGAGAAGCTCTCTTCTTTGAAGGAGGAGGCGACAGGAGCTTCAGGAGGGCGAGAAGGAAAGGGAGGGAGTGGGTTGGAAGGAGGAAGGGAAGTTTTGACGCGCCTCAAAACTCACCTCGAAGCAACAGGAGATTCAGGAGGGTTAGAAGCGAAGGGAGGGAGTGGGGTGGAAGGAGGAAGGGAAGGCAACAGGGCGGAGGAGGAGCAGAGTGATTCTGGTGGTGATGGGAGTGAGCCGGCTAGGCGAGAGTTTGGGGGAATGAGAGAAGCTGAGGGGGGAGATTCGAGGTTGTTGGGTAAGGGATTAGGTTCGGATGAGCTTAGACACGTGGCAGGGGAGAAGCAGAAGAATGGAGGGGATGTGGGAAGGGGAGTGAGGGAGGAAGTGGACGAGGTTATGGAGACCCGGGTGGGGAGAGGCGAGTTGGAAGCAGCCGTTGGGGATGGCAGAGGCTCGTCTCTGACTGGTTTAGTTAAAGGAGAAGAGAAGGCAGAGGCAGAAGCAGAGGCAGAGGCAGAGACAGGGGCAGTGGCAGGGGCACAGGCAGGGGCAGGGGCAGGGGCAGATGCAGTGGGAGGGGCCAAGGCGGAGGCAGCAGCAGAGGCAGATCCCAGCATTGCTTCTGGTGGAGGGATCTCTGTTTCTGCTTCCAAAGAGCCGCAAGGTCGAGCAGGCGATGGTGACACGGTAGGCAGCGAGGCAGGTACTGGATCCGGGGCATCTAGTCGGGTAGGTGTCCCCCCCACTGCTTCCTCTTTGCCATCCGCTCCCACGCCCTCACACGAGGGCTCTGCCCCTGGGGCTGGTTCATCTGGAGGGGCAGGTGCGCTGGGAGAGGGAGGTTCTTCATATGATATGGAAGGTTCGGGAGAAGAGACAGGTGCAAATGGGAAGACAGGAGCATGTGAAAAAGGGGCAAGAGAAGCAAAGATGGATGGGGAGAGTGGAGGGGAGGGAGAGAGAGTGAACAGGAATGCGGTGGAGGGTGGAGGGAGGAGCAGTCTGGGAGCTGCTCCTTCAGGTGGATTGTCAGGTGGCTTATCCGACAAGGAAGGGAACGTTCAGGTGAAAACAGCAGGGGCAGGCGTGGAGCAGGCGTCACCGTCAGCAGCAGCAGATGGCCGGCAGACAGGTTCTTTTGATGCGGGCGGCAATAAAATCCAAGAATCTCGCGAAGAGAGACCTACGGCAGGCGACAGGAGTCAGAGAGAAGATAGCAGTGTTGTAGACAACAGGAAAACAATAGCAAATGGTGGAAAGCCCATTAAGGAGGATGGTGCTTCGTTACAACCAAACACCACAGCTGAGGTGCCTGGGACTGGCAATGAGTCAGAGGTTAAGCGCGGGAGCAGCACCACCATCACCAGCACCACCAGCAGCACCAGCAGCACCAGCAGCAGCACCAGCAGCAGCACCACCACCACCATCACCAGCAGCAGCAGCAGTGGGGTAGGAGGGGATGCAAGTAGCACAGCAACAGTCAATAAAGAGACGGGTACCAGCGCAATGGGCTCCAGTGGGACACCCACTGACGCGACAGCCGGCAGTGCAGTAGGCAATAACGGAGCCCTCATTAGTGGAGCTCAGGTGGTCACCAGTACCACCCCCTTCAGCATCAGCAGCAGCGGCAGCAGCTTTGCCGGTGCTGCCAGCAACCTGTATGGGCTCAAGTCGCTGATGCACATGGTGAGGCAGTGGGAGGACAAGCAGGCGGTGCTGGAGCAGTATATTGAAGACATGGCTGCATCGTACGCAGCTAACCTTGCTTCTACGGATGCTGAGCTGCTCTCGTTGAGGACTCGCCTGCGGAATGCTACTGGTACCATTGCAGGGCTGCAGGCGCAGCTGCAGAATGCGGTGAGTGTGTGTTGGGGTGTATGCGATGCGAGGGATGTGTGTGCTTGGATGTGAGGGATGGTTGTGCGTGCACATGGTGAGGGGGTGGGAGGACAAGCCCGCGGTGCTGGAGCAGTATGTGGACGACATGGCTGCCTCCTATGCGGCTAACCTTGCTTCTACGGATGCTGAGTTGCTCTCGCTGCGCACACGTCTGCGAAATACCACGGTTACCATTGCAGGGCTGCAGGCACAGCTGCAGAACTCGGTGACTGGATATTGTTTCTGGTGTTTGGGAGGGATGGATGTGATTCTGTGAGGGCGGGTGTATGTGCTTGTATGGGGGGGATGTGTGGGCTTGCACATGGTGAGGCAGTGGGAGGGCAAGCAGGCGGTGCTGGAGCAGTATGTGGAGGGCATGGCTGCCTCCTATGCTGCTAACCTCGCCTCCACGGATGCCGAACTGTGTGTGAGAGGGATGCGTGTGCAAGGGATGTGCGCTTGTATGCAAGAGATGTATGTGCTTGTATGAGAGGGATGTTTGTGCTTGTATGAGAGGGGTGTATTTGCTTGTATGAGAGGGATGGATGTGCTTGTATGAGAGGGATGTATGTGCTTGTATGAGAGGGATGCATGTGCTTGTATGAGAGGGAGATATGCGTTTTTTTGCTTGTTTTGAATGTTATTGGTGGAATGTGCACGGACATTGACTTACCGTAGGTGTTGGTTGCTGGCATGATGTATACAGGAGCGGCGGCATGGGAAGGATTTGGAGGACGTGCGAAAGGATGTGTCTGAACAAATGGAGAGCCTTCAACAAAGCATCAATAATGCCAGGTGAGTTGATGCCGTATGTATGCTGTTTCGTGTTGCATTATTTAGGGTTGCGTCATCTTTTGAATATATTACATTTTCATGTTGTTGGGGTTGGTGCCTTGTTTGTTGTTGCAGAGGGGTCTCTTTAGAACTATCAAGGAGATTAGAGGATATGGTATGGCTGGCTATATTAGTCGCTACAACAGCAGGCGTATTAGGCTTTGTCCTAGGAGTCTATCACAAGGCTTTGGAGTAGTAGGATCTACTAGTTTAATGTTCAGGTTAGTATGTATCTAGTGCAGGCTAAGTGTTGATATTTATTTTCTAAAATGAAACATCTCGTATTACATCACCCTCTTGAGGTGTCAGCTTAGGAACTGTTTCGCGCCAAATCAGCTGGGCACGCGTCAACGCTGTCACAGCGACACTCGCCCCGTCAAACCCGCGGAGCCCTGTCAGGTGCAGGCCGGTACGGCGAGAAGGGGGTTTTCATTCCGCTTTGCCCCAGCTAGCCATTTCGGATCGGTTCGGGGCTCCCCTCCCCTCGCGCCTGTCACACAGCCCCAGTAGGGCAGGCTGTATGAACAACTCGGTTTCGTCATTCTTGCAATACAGGTTCGCCGATCGAAACACTCGCAGAGTTGATCTTTGCTTGGTTACAATCGCGAATCGACGGTACTTTTGCGGGCAGCTCCGGAATGCCGACTGGCGACACTTCGACGACATCATTGCGAGTTTACCTAGCGTGGCTGGCAGAACTTCCGCGTGTCCCCGCTAGTGCCCCATATAATCGAAATGGGTTGTCGGGTAGAAACCGTTTGACCAGTGCACTTACGGAAATGCCGAGTCTGCCTGCGAAATGTAGATAATGCTGCGGTTCAGTGCGTTAGGAGGTGGTAGCTTTGCTCTGTCACGTCTAGAACCACTCTCTATACATGCACTACCTTCACCAGCACGGCACACTCCCAAGGCATTGCAACAGCAGCAATCAGCCACTCTTGGATAGATAGCTGTTGGTCAGGGCATCGATGCGGTCCGCGTCTTGGTATACGTGATTACTCAAAGATAGCCGTGATAAAGTGGTGTAGGTTATCAACTGTGGGTGCTGAAAACTTAGCTGTATTCAGAGCAGATATTTATTCGTTCACATTTGACCGTATTTATTTCAGTAAGCAAGCCACGCTTAAACATGGGAGCGTGCCTCTCAACGTGTCTCGGCTCTGCGTCGGTCGAAAAGGATAAAGGAAATGTCGACGAAAGCAAGGTTCAGAAGAATCCTGTCGTTGGCGGTAGTCGAACCGGAGACGATAACTGCGACGGGGCGAAGATACAAAACGCTAAGTACCCCAAAGATGATAAGAGCATTCCAATAGGCCTCCGGACCGACTTCGGTTATAAGCGCGACTTCGAGAAGCATTATAAGACCGGGAAGGAGCTGGGACACGGGCAATTCGGGACAACTTATGAGTCGATACAACTAGCGGCGGATAATCGCGTGGCCGTCAAGGCAATTCAAAAGAAATCGGTGAGCATCTTAGGAACGTACAAACAGGTCAATGCCTGCTGTACGAAGAGTGTTTAAGAAGGGTACGTACAAACAGGTCAATGCCTGTTGTACGAAGAGTGTTTGAGAAGGGTACGTACAATCAGGTCAATGCCTGCTGTACGAAGGTAAGGACGATGCGTTTTTTCCTGCTCGTTACGACGACCTGACGAAAGCATACATGGCCTAATAAGCAGTCCGTTATACAGTGACTGGTTTTGTATCACATTTCAGTCTTACTACCTTCAGTTTTGGGTTGTAGACGCTTCTGGCTCTTATTAATGTTTTGCTTCTGCATCTTTTCTTTTTCCTTCTGCGGATTGCTGACCCGCCATCGCGGTGCTAGAAATAATGCCCGTGTACTCTTGTTTCTGTCAGTGAACTGTTGTTTCTGCCCGTATACTCTCGCTACTGCCCGTCTACCCTCGCGCGGCGCGCTGCAGATGAAGCAGCCAATAGCGGTGGAGGATGTGGAGCGGGAGGTGAAGATCCTGCAGCTGTTGTCGGGCCATCCCAACGTGGTTCAGTTTATCGACGTCTTTGAAGACACGGAACTCGTGTACATTGCCATGGAGTGAGTGCGCTATAGCGGGTACTAAGTGCGCACTTGATCAGCTAAGGGTGGCAATCAAGGAGTTGGTTTTTGGCCGTCCCCATGTGGTTCGGATTACTTGTGTCTGTGAATGAACGGAGCGCGTATGCCAATCTGTCCTCACGCATCACTTGTCATGCTGTCATGCTGTCATGCTGTCATGCTGTCATGATGTCATGCTGTCATGCTGTCATGCTGTCATGCTGTCATGATGTCATGCTGTCATGCTGTCATGCTGTCATGCTGTCATGCTGTCATGCTGTCATGCTGTCATGCTGTCGTTCTGTCATGCTGTCATGCTGTCGTTCTGTCCTTCTGTCATCTTCTCATGTTCTTGTTCTTTCCTTTTGTCCGTCCACCTCACGCAGGTTGTGTGAAGGAGGAGAGCTGCTTGACAGGATTCTGGGCAAGTGAGTGAGGGTGATTGTCCGGGAGGGTGGTGGTGAGTGAGGGAGGGTGGGGGCGAGTGAGAGGGTGAGGGCGCGTGAGTGAGGGGGAGGGCGAGTGAGTGAGGGGGAGGAGTGGGGGGCGAGAGGGCGAGGACTGGGGAGGGTGAGTGAGGATGATGGTTAGTGAGGGGAGGGTGCCAATGCCATCCAACGAAACCCGTCTGTCCGTCTGTTGTAAACAATTGCGTGCACAACAAATGCGTGCTTATCAAATGCGCCCGTCCGTCTGCCTGCCTTCCTACCTGCCTGTCGGCTTGCTCGTCCGACCACCCACCATGACAGGAAGGACAACCGGAATTCGGAGAAGAGTGAGGCAGGTGCTCAACGTGGCACTAACGACAAGAGCGCGTGTGCCTGCCTGTCTTTCGGCCCGTCCGTCCATGTGCCTGCCTCTCTGCCGGCCCTCCCACCATGACAGGAAGGACAACCGGTACTCGGAGCAGGACGCGGCTAGCGTGGTGAGGCAGATGCTCAACGTGGCACTAATGACAGGAGTGCATCGTCCTGCCTGCCTCTATGCCCGTCTGTCCATTTTCCTGCCTCCCTGCTTGTCCACCCACCATGACAGGAAGGACAACCGGTACTCGGAGAAGGACGCGGCTAGCGTGGTGAGGCAGATGCTCAACGTGGTGGCGCGCTGTCACCTGAACGGCGTCGTGCACCGCGACCTCAAGCCCGAGGTGCGATCATTGTGGCCTCAAGCCCGAGGTGGGATTGCTTTCGAGCTCGAAGTGAGGTCCATCTCAAGCCAGGGGCTAGACAGGCGGATGTCAAGGCAGGGGTGAGATAGCTGCCACCTCAACGGCGTCGTGCACCGCGACCTCAAGCCCGAGGTGCTATCGCCTATGGGTGGCAAGCCCGAGGTGCGATGGCCTATGGGTGGCAAGCCCGAGGTGTGATGGCCTATGGGTGGCAAGCCCGAGGTGCGATAGCCTATGGGTGGCAAGCCCGAGGTGCGATAGCCTATGGATGGCAAGCCCGAGGTGCGATAGCTTATGGGTGGCAAGCCCGAGCTCGATAGCTTATGGGTGGCAAGCCCGAGGTGACCTCAACCCGAGGTGCGTTGGCCTGAAGCCCGGGGGGAGACGGCTGAGAGGTACCTCAGGTGCTAAAGCCTATGGGTGGCAAGCCCGAGGTGGGATAGCCTATGGGTGGCAAGCCCGAGGTGCGATAGCCTATGGGTGGCAAGCCCGAGGTGGGATAGCCTATGGGTGGCAAGCCCGAGGTGGGATAGCCTATGGGTGGCAAGCCCGAGGTGCGATAGCCTATGGGTGGCAAGCCAGGAGCGAGAAAGGTCTTCACTCCAGGCAGATGTGAGATAGGTGTCGATCTAGGGTTGATCTCCTCTGCATCACTCCCACCTTCAGTCATCCCTTCGCACCCCTCTCCACCCATCTGTGTTGCGCAGAACTTTCTGTTCGCCAACAAGACGGAGGAATCGCCTCTCAAGGCCACCGACTTTGGCCTCTCGGACTTCAGAAAGCCAGGTAAGATGGGATGGGAAGGGGAGCGGCGATAGGTGGGATGGGATGGGAAGGGAAGCGGAGATAGCTCTGGTTTGGAGTCAACTCAAAGGACTCGCCTCTCAAGGCCACCGACTTTGGCCTCTCGGACTTCAGAAAGCCGGGTGAGTGGCACACCTGGGGGGGTGGGGGGAGTGCGAGGGCGGGGGATAAAGAGGGGCCCACCTGGGGATGTGGGGGATGCGAGGGGAGATGTTTTAGTCGACTCAAAATCGGAGGAATCGCCTCTTGAGGCCACCGACTTTGGCCTCTCGGACTCTAGAAAGCCAGGTGAGTGGCGCGCCCGGGCGGGGGAGGGGTGGGGGAGGTGCAAGGACGGGGGAATAAAGAGTTGCCGAGAAGGCGAGAGGGTGATTTAGTCGACTCAGCCCCCCCATCCCATTTCACCCCTCTCTATCCCACCCCACCGCACTCAACCCCAGGCAAGCACTTCACGGATGTGGTGGGCAGCACCTACTATGTGGCCCCAAGAGGTGATCAACGGGAGGTCTGTCCTGCTCACACCAACCTCACCGCACCCCATTTCACCCCCCTCTACCTCACTCTTCCGCACTTCACCATCCTCTCTTCCCCAGGCAAGCACTTCACGGATGTGGTGGGCAGCGCCTACTACGTGGCTCCTGAGGTGCTCAAGAGGCGGTCAAGAGGAGGTCTTCCCTGCTCACGCCAACCCCACTCCTCCCCACACTACCCCACCCCTCTCAACCCCAGGCAAGCACTTCACGGACGTGGTGGGCAGCGCCTATTACGTGGCTCCTGAGGTGCTCAAGAGGCGGTCGGGGCCGGAGAGTGACGTGTGGAGCATCGGGGTCATCACGTATATCTTGCTGTCAGGCAGACGACCGTTCTGGGATAAAACAGAGGCCGGCATTTTCAACGAGGTGTGGGGGAATAGGGGGGGTTAAGTGAGGGAGAGTGACGTGTGGAGCATTGGAGTGATCACGTACATCTTGCTGTCAGGCAGACGACCGTTCTGGGATAAAATGGAGGCGGGGGTCTTCAATGAGGTGAGGGCATGGACAGGGGGGGTTGGAGGGAATAGATGAGGAGGGAGGGAGGGGGGGAGCGGGGGGAAGAGAGACGGATAAGAGTGAGTGTGGCGTGTGGAGCATTGGCGTCATTAAGTGCATCCTGCTGTCAGGATGGAATTTTCAATGAGGTGAGGGTGGGGAGGGTAGGGGAGGGAGGGCGGTGGCGGGCATTGGAAGTCTTCTCAGAACTGTCAAAGGATTCCAAAGAAGTGCGGCACATTCTCCCTGTAAGCGAGCTGACAGTTTTAGAGTCGACTAAAAAATGGCGGGCATTGGAAGTCTTCTCAGAGCTGTCAAAAGGATTCCAAAGAAGTGCGGCACATTCTCCCTGTAAGAGAAAAACCGCGTCCCTGTCTCTCCCTCTCCCGATACCACCAGGTGCTGAAGAAGAAGCCGGACTTCCGGGAGAAGCCATGGCCACAGGACTCAGCTGCTTTCTCTAGGAGAGGGGTTGAGAGTGTCATCATAGCTTCTGTGTTTCTCGCTTTTCCCATCCATCCAGGTGCTGAAGAAGAAACCCGACTTCAGGGAGAAGCCGTGGCCGCAGATCTCATCCAGCGCCAAGGACTTTGTCAAGAAGCTGCTCAAGAAGGACCCGCGCGCCCGCCCCACCGCTGCACAAGCCCTGTGTGAGTGAAGTGAATGCACTGCCTGCGAGCTGTGCTCTCTGTGTGCGAGTCAATGCGCTGCCGATCTCATCCAGTGCCCAAGGACTTTGTCAAGAAGTCTCAATAAGGACCCGCGTGCCCGCCCCACTGCTGCACAAGCCTTGCGGGAGTCAACTCAACGCCCTCCCTGCATAGTAGCCATGTGTGAGTCAAGTCAACGCCCTCCCTGCCTATTAGCCATGTGTGAGTCAAGTCAACGCCCTCCCTGCCTATTAGCCATGTGTGAGTCAAGTCAACGCCCTCCCTGCCTATTAGCCATGTGTGAGTCAATGCTGTACAGATCTCATCCAGCGCCAAGGACTTTGTGAAGAAGCTGCTCAGGAAGCACCCTCGCGCCCGCCCCACTGCTGCACAAGCCCTGTGTGAGTCAGTGCGCGGCCTTTGAGGCGTGCATTGTGGGCGTACAGTACAGTGATATCCAACGTGCCCGTTGGGCACGGCAGTGTAGAGAGGTTGAGACGTCTAAAAAATAACTCCTTTGAGGCGTGCATTGTGGGCGTACAGTACAGTGATATCCAACGTGCCCGTTGGGCATGGCAGTGTAGAGAGGTTGAGACGTCTAAAAAATAACTCCTTTGAGGCGTGCATTGTGGGCGTACAGTACAGTGATATCCAACATGCCCGTTGGGCACAGCTGTGTGTCATCTCCCCGCATTCCTTCCTATGTTGCCCGTTCCCACCTTTCTCCGTCTCCTCCCCTCCCATCCCCTCCCCTCCACCCCACCACCAGCGCACCCGTGGGTGAAGGAGGGAGGCAACGCGTCGTCCATCCCGCTAGACATAGCAGTGCTGTCCAACATGAGGGAGTTTGTCAAGTACTCACGCCTCAAGCAGATGGCGCTCAAGGTGAGAGCAAGCACGCACAGCAAGCACGCACAGCAAGCACGCACCACATGCACGCACGCAAGTGTGGTGGTGGTGAAGGTGAGTGGTGCCATCCCCCCCATGTCCCATCGGCTATCCCGCTGGACATAGCAGTGCTGTCCAACATGCGCGAGTTCGTCAAGTACTCGCGCCTCAAGCAGATGGCGCTCAAGGTGAGTCGCTGTGTGGGTGAGTGCTTCCCCTTCAGGCTGTGATGCCACAGTGCCACACAGCTGGCCTCTCTGGTTCATTGAGCCATCTCTCAGACATAGCAGTGCTGTCCAACATCCGCGAGTTCGTCAAGTACTCGCGCCTCAAGCAGATGACGCTCAATGTGGGTTTGCTGCTTGCTGTAATTCCACAGTGCCTCGCGCAGCTGGTGTGTTGTGTTGACTGATAGAGCGATCTCCTGTGCAACGTGCGCCGAGTTTGTCAAGCACTCACGTCCAAGGGACCAGCTCAACAATGCGGTGACTTTTGAGTCGACTCAATAGTCAACTCGCGTTCAAGGGACCAGCTCAACAATGCGGTGACTTTTGAGTCGACTCAATAGTCAACTCGCGTTCAAGGGACCAGCTCAACATTGCTTGTTTGCTCCAATGCTGCTCGTGTCCCAGCTTGTCCTCACTGCCTTTCCTCCTCCTTTTCACCAGGCGCTAGCGACGACTCTGGAGAGCACGGAGGTGCAGCAGCTGAGGGACCAGTTCAACATGTGCTTCTTTAGTCTGCTGTTTAATCTCACCCTTTTTCCCATTTTCCCACTGTTTTACCCATTTTCCCACTGTTTTCCCCATTTTCCCACTGGTTTCCCCACTTTTCCTCCTTTTCACCAGGCGCTAGCGACGACTCTGGAGAGCACGGAGGTGCAGCAGCTGAGGGACCAGTTCAACGCAATGGACATCAATGGGGACGGCACCATCACCATCGATGAAATCCGACATGTGAGCTGCTCGCACACCACGAGTTGACGTGTATGTATGTGAGCACCTGCTACCACACACCTTGTGAGCGCCTCAAAAGACATTAATGGGGACGGCACCATCACCATCGATGAGATCCGACTTGTGAGTTCGTGCTAGCATGTCAAGAGATCACATGACCCGACTGAGCTCGGTGTCACTACTAGCACACCCTCACACACGCGCTGAAATCAGCTGAGTGCTTTCTGAGTGCTTCTGAGTACATCTTAGCTCAATGCATTCGCTTCTGAGTGCTGAAACCTCACCAACCCCCTGACTTCTCCTCCTGTCATTCGCCTTCTCATCCCCCCTCCCGGTGTGTTCCTGTTTTCCGTGCGCCAGGCGCTCAACAAGGACCTGCCGTACGAAGTGAAGGAGACCAAAGTGGTGCAGATCTTGCAAGCGGTGAGTCCACTCCACACTGCCAGCAGCACTTGCATGTTCACCTTGCACGCTGGCCTCTGCCCTTTCAGCTTGCCCTTGCATGCGCCAGGCGCTCAACAAGGACCTCCCGTATGAAGTGAAGGAGACCAAAGTGGTGCAGATCCCGCAAGCTGTGAGTCCACTCTGCCTGCAAGGACACCACGCCTGCGCTCACTCATCACGCCTGTGCTCACTCATCACGCCTGTGCTCACTCATCACGCCTGTGCTCACTCATCACGCCTGTGCTCACTCATCACGCCTGTGCTCACTCATCACGCCTGTGCTCACTCATCACGCCTGTGCTCACTCATCACGCCTGTGCTCACTCATCACGCCTGTGCTCACTCATCACGCCTGTGCTCACTCATCACGCCTGTGCTCACTCATCACGCCTGTGCTCACTCATCACGCCTGTGCTCACTCATCACGCCTGTGCTCACTCATCACGCCTGTGCTCACTCATCACGCCTGTGCTCACTCATCACGCCTGTGCTCACTCATCACGCCTGTGCTCACTCATCACGCCTGTGCTCACTCATCACGCCTGTGCTCACTCATCACGCCTGTGCTCACTCATCACGCCTGTGCTCACTCATCACGCCTGTGCTCACTCATCACGCCTGTGCTCACTCATCACGCCTGTGCTCACTCATCACGCCTGTGCTCACTCATCACGCCTGTGCTCTCCACTGCCAGCAGTATGCCCTGGCACGCTGCTGGCGCGTGCACTTTCTTCGCGCCCCCTTGTTGGCCTTTGAGAAGCCAAGGGCGCAGGCCTTGTTGGCCTTTGAGAAGCCAATACAGCAACAAAGATCACAATCCTTGCCTTAAACTGTTATGGCACCACACACTGCGTCGACTCTATTTGAAGAGTTTGTATCGGCCACGCTGCACGTGCAGCAGCTGGAGGAGGCCGTGGAGGCCGATTCGGCCAAGTAGGAGAAGTGTGCCTCCTGTTGTTCCTCACATCTTATGCGTCAGCAGCTGGAGGAGGCCGACCCATTGAGGCACAACTTTCGCCCCTCATTCCATTCCATCCTTTCCCAACCTCACGCTCCTTCCCAACCCCTTGCTGCACGCAGATGGACGCCAACTGTGATGGATTGGAATCATCGATTTCGATGAGTTTGTGGCGGCCACGCTGCACGTGCAGCAGCTGGAGGAGGCTGATTCTTGAGGCGCAACTCTCACCCCTCATTCCCACGCCTCCTGCCCCTCAACCCACGCAGATGGACACCAACTGTGACGGTATAATTGATTTTGACGTGTTTGTGGCGGCCACGCTGCATGTGCAGCAGCTGGAGGAGGCTGATTCTTGAGGCGCAACTCTCACCCCTCATTTCGGTTCACTTCCTTCCCAACCCGTGCTCCACGCAGATGGACACCAACTGTGACGGCATTATTGATTTTGACGAGTTCGTGGCGGCCACGCTGCACGTGCAGCAGCTGGAGGAGGCTGATTCAGCCAAGTGGGAGGAGCGCTCCAAGGCAGCATTCAACCACTTCGACACGGATGGAGATGGCTTCATCGACGCGGAGGAGCTGAGAGTGGTGAGATGGTGTTGCAAAGGGTCGGGGGTGGTCGTGTGCGGTTAAGATGGGTCTGATTGGTGAGGATAGTGGAAGGTGTTTCTTCCTACAGGCGTCACAATGACGGGGTTGTGGGCGCGATTAGTGGACGAGGAGGAGGACGGGATGATGAACATTCTTTAACCGTTCCAATATTGTACCTTTTCGTCTCCTCCCTCCCTTCTCCCTCTGCTTGCAAACAGGCGGCGCAAATGAAGGGGTCGCTGCGGCGATTGATACACGCATCAATGTGGATGGGGAGGGTCGCATCAGCTTGCTGACTCCCTTTTCCCCCCTCCCCTCTCTCTCCCCCCCTCTCCTCTTCCTTCCCCCCTTTCCGCTCTGCTTGCAAACAGGCGGCGCAAGTGAAGGGGTCGTTGGGCCGATTGATAGACGAGGGGGATGTGGACGGGGATGGGCGAATCAGCTTGCCCGAGTTTCAGAAGCTTCTGCGCTGCGCCAGCATTAACTCTCGCACTAACACCACCTCGCGATCTCGTGGCCGCTCGGGCTTTGGAGCAATCGCTGAGTAGACTCTCTTTGTATGCTAACCCAACAAACACCTTGTACCTACCGTATCACTTCTGGTTTTTCTCAAAAGTGATTAGCTCAGGCACTCAAGCACTTGCCATTAGCTCTCTGTTTTTCTAACCCAATACCTTTTTGGTAAGCAGTGCTTAGATCCATGCTTCAAGGTACTGAGTTCTGGCTTGATGTGGGTAGGTCCTCAACAACCGTGCTGTCTCCTATGTTGAAATGCAAACAAATATGTAGGTAACATCTATGCCCGGTTTATAAGCAACAAAAAACTCCTTAGCAAGAGGTTGAACTTTCTCGGGTGATAGCTGGTGTGCTCAAGACGCGGAAAGGTCTGGAACGGATGCGATCCACCACAGTTATAGTGAACCTCTATAAAGAGTACGACAGCTCAAGCCTGTCTCCAGGAATTCGTAAAATTTGATCCGCGCATTCTTGTTTCACTTCATCCACTCTTCCACTCTTGGCTTCATGCTGAGAGTATTTCCTGTCGCTAGGCAGGATCCAGGCTTGGCGCTTTCGCTGATACGTTGCCCCGACCCGACCTTCTCTTGTCCCTGGCCCTGATATCTTCGTGCAAATAAGAATACGGCCCCGTGTCGCGTATAGTTTGGAAAGCCCGCGAATATCCTAGTCCTCATCGTAGTTCGCGCGGATGGAGGAGGACTGGGAGGAGGAGGCTGTTGACGCGTCGCAGGGAGACGCGTCGCAAGCGGAGGACGACAGGACGTACATTGGCAGTGTGCTCTTTAACATCAAGGGTCTGCAGCACTACCCGGGGACCGTGAACCCGCGAGAGGTTCGTTGTAGATTCCTTAAGAGACGTCTCGATATACATTGGCAGTGTGCTCTTTAACATCAAGGGTCTGCAGCACTACCCGGGGACCGTGAACCCGCGAGAGGTTCGTTGTAGATTCTTTAAGAGACGTCTCGATATACATTGGCAGTGTGCTCGTCAACATGAACGGGTTGCAGCACTACCCGGGGACCGTGAACCCGCGAGAGGTTCGTTTCTGCACGTAATACATGTAGACTCGTTAAGAGCCGTCTCGATATACATCGGGAGCGTGCTCGTCGACATCAGGGGCTTGCATACTACGCGGAGACTGTCAAGCCGCGAGAGTTCTGTACCTGCGTGCACACGTAGATTCGTTATAAGGCGTCTCAATGTATCTCAATGTACATTTAGATTCATTCAGAGGTGTCCCGATGCATTTTAGCATCAACATGCTGCTACCTTCCATCAGGGGCTTGCAGCACTACCCGGGAACTGTGGACCCGCGAGAGGTTCGTACCTGCGTGCACACGTAGATTCGTTATAAGGCGTCTCAATGTATCTCAATGTACGTTGGGAGCGTGCGCGTAAACGTCACAGGGCTGCATGGTTACCCAGGGACCCTAGTTCCTTCCAGTCGCGCTTTCCTTTTTACATGTGTTAAGCTTTCAACTCTCCTGCGACCCAACCTCCAGATGGTTCGGCTTATTCGGGAGCCTAATAACGCGCACGACCGCAATGCCATCCGCGTGGACAACATCAGAGGCCAGGAGGTAGGCCACGTGGAAGCCAAAATGGCCTGCCACCTGGCGCCACTTGTCGACGCAGGACTGGTGGCGATCGAAGGCCTGGTGACGCGTGGAACGAGGAACATTTACCAAATGCCATGCCACATGTGCTTGTTCAGCTCCCCTGTATCTGCTCCTGAAGTAGTATCTCGCTTGCTGTCTGCCGGAGTGCCTTTGGTGGAAACCAACAGCCTCCCTGGTTCAGACACTTTCGGGGAAGCTTCCCGCTCTGGTTCATTACAGTCATCCTCGTTACAGGCTGCTTCGGCTGCTGCGTCAGTTGCTGCTGCTTTGGCAGCGCAGAGAGCCGCGATGAGCCAAGCAGAACAGGACAAGGCGGTCTTATCCTTGTTTGATGACCTGGCATGCCAGGTGGAAGCGGATCGGCCCACCGCGGATCCGCCTTGCCACGTCATCAGGTCGTCCCTCCTGCCACATCAGCAGCGGGCGCTGGCGTGGATGATCAAGCGGGAAAGCGCGAAGAAGCTTCCACCGTTTTGGAAAGCCGGGGCCTTAGAGTCTGGCAGCAGCAGCAAAGGGAAGAGAGGAGGGAGAGGAGGAGGAGGGAGGGCGGGGGGAAGACAGGGCAGGGGGGGCCGGGGAAGAGGGAGAGAGGGACAGGGAGGGGGTGCAGCGGGGGTGGAGGGGGGAGCGGGAGGGGAAGAGGGGGAGGAGGAGGATGGAGATGATGGGCGGGAGGGCGGGGGGCGAGTGTTCACCAACATTCTCACCAACTTCACCACGGAAGAGAGGCCCAAGGCGCTGAGGGGAGGCATTCTGGCTGATGACATGGGGCTGGGGAAAACGCTCTCCCTGCTCTCCCTTGTTGCCTCCACCTCTGCTGCTGCTGCTGGCGCTGGTGAAACACAAGCTATCGGCACCTCCTCCACTGATGCTGCTGATGGGGTGCAAGGGGAGCAGAGCAGGGCGACGCTAGTGGTGTGCCCTCTGTCCGTACTCTCCAACTGGACTGCACAGCTGGCAGAGCACGTGGCACCAGGAGTGCTGAGCTACTATGTGTACCACGGGGCAGAGCGCGTGAGAGACCCGAGCTTCCTCTCTGGCTTTGACCTTGTCTTTACCACCTACAACATCCTCGCTTCTGAGTGCCCCCCTTCCTCTGCCTCCGCTGCTTCTGCTGGTGCTGCTGGCGCTGCTGGTGGTTCTTCTGCTGGTGCTGGTAGGGGCGGGTCAGGGGGAATGGCACCACGGGCTGAGAGTCCGCCGCCCTCCCCGCCTTCCATTCCGGGGTGCCCAGGGATGCTCATGCCGGCTTATGCTGGCATGCCAGGGGCGCGGGGAAGGAAGAGGAAGGCGCCAGGGGCCGCAGCGCAGGGGCAGAGGAAGCGAGGGGGGATGGCAGGGACGGTGGGAGGGGCAGGGAGCAGCAGCAGGAGCACTGCAGGAGCTTCAACAGCAGGAGGAACGGGAGCAGAGACAGCAGGTGGAGGGCCATTGATGCAGGTGAAATGGAGGCGGGTGATTCTGGACGAAGCGCACGTGATCAAATCCGTGCGGACGCGGGCGGCGCGGGCGGCGACAGCGCTGCAGGCGGAGAGGCGGTGGGCAGTGACGGGCACTCCGGTGCAGAACCAGCTGGGTGATCTCTTCTCGCTGCTCTGCTTCCTGCGCCTTGATCCTCTTAATGACCGTTCGATCTGGACCCGCGCGATCGAGCGGCCAATGAGGGAGCGCCAGCACATTGGGCTGGACAGATTGAGGGTATGTTTAAAGCATGGGAGTGTGTGTGCGTGTGGGTGGGTGGATGGGGGGGTGGGTGGGTGGATAGGCGGAGAGGCGGTGGGCAGTGACGGGCACTCCGGTGCAGAACCAGCTGGGTGGTCTCTTCTCGCTGCTCTGCTTCCTGCACCTTGATCCTCTCAACAACCGTTCGACCTGGACCCGCGCGATTGAGCGGCCAATGAGGGAGCGCCAGCACATTGGTTTGGATAGGCTCCGGGTATGCTCGAGGCAAGGGAGCATGTGTGTGCAAGTGGGCGGGCGGGTGGGTGGGTGGGGGGTGTGTGTGCACGTGCATGTTTGGGTGTGTGTCTGCATGTGTGTGAGTGTGGGTGTGCTCGACCAGTTTCATAACCACCTCTTTCCCACCCTTTTCCCCGCACCTCCACATGCTCTGGTTCTTACAATTGCTCTATGGCGCATCAAGGAGATGCAGGTGAACGGCTTTTCACATGCTCAAAACTCGTCCTGCTTCCACAAGCCAACTCCCTCCCACCCTTTCCACTACGGCTCTAAGGCGCACCAAGTAGCTGCAGGTGAACGGCTTTTGAACCAAGTAAAAATCACTCTTCTTGCCCACTCCCACAGGCATTGGTTCTCACGACGGCTCTAAGGCGCACCAAGGACATGCAGGTGAACGGCCGGCCACTGCTGTCACTCCCTCCGAAGACTGTACGAGTGCTGCCAGTCGACTTGCTGCCAGAGGACCGGGATCTCTACGACCAGTAAGCGACTTTTTTTCTTCTTCTTCTAAGGCCGGATGCGGTGTAGGTCACTGGTATCTGTGCTGCTGGCAGTGATTGTGCACCGTTTGTTTTTTTGGAGGCTGTTTGAGTGCTCCCAATCAACAAGCTGCCAGAGAATCGAGATTTCCACGACCAATGAGGATAGCCCTTTGGTGTGACTGTTCACTTGTGATTTCACACGAGTCACTACACTTGTGATTGCACATGAGTCACTTGTACATGTATCACTTGTTGCACACATGTATCACTGTTCACTCACCCGTTGCTTTGTACTGTTGACACCATACCCTCAATATTCTTGCTACCTCACCCCTCCACTACACCCACCCTCGTTGTTCTCTTCCAGGGTGCAGGAGGAGGTGCGGCGCCTTGTGAGTGGCATGATGGCACAGGGAACGTTGATGAAGAACTATGCTACAGTGCTTGAGATGATCCTACGGCTCAGACAGATCGCAGACCACAAGGGACTCTGTCCACCGCACGTTCTCGAGGCCATTGCTGCGTCTGCTGCTGCTGCAGAAGAGGCAGACAGAAACCAGGATGCCAAAGGTGCGCAAGCATATAAACCATCATGAGGAGTTCTGAAATGGGGGTGTGGATGTTGACAATGGTGTGTGATGCTCGTTTCTCAGCTATGGCTTTTTCAATCTGTGTTTTCCTTCTTCCCATCTCTGCATTTTTTCAGCTGCAGTTCCTTTGGACCCCCTTCTGAGTCAGAAGCTTCAGGAACTTCTGGCAGCAGGAGCAGCCGATGAGGACTGTCCCATCTGCCTCTCTCCTCCCACTCTTCCTGTCATCACACCCTGCTCTCACATCTTCTGCCGCCGCTGCATTCGCCGGGTTCTATCCATCCAGAAGCATGCCTGCCCCATGTGCAGAGCGCCAGTAGATGAGGCTCATCTGGTGGAGGCTCCACCTGATGCCGCAGAAGGAGAGGGAGGTGGCGCTAATGGGGATCATTCCAAGGGGGGTTTGATGGAAGGAGTTGAGGGGAATACAAGTGCCAAGATTGATGCACTTATAGCCGCTCTTCATGAGCCTCTTCAGGTGCCACCAGGATACCAACATCCAGAGGGTGGAGATCCTATTGCAGGGCCTAGTGCAATGGGAGGAGGTGGTGGGCGTCAGCAGCTGAGGACTAAGAGTGTTGTGTTTTCTCAGTTCACTAGAATGCTGGATTTGGTGTATGAGAGGTTACAGGCTGCTGGATTCAGGTGCTGTAGATTGGATGGCCGCACTAAGCTAAGTCTGAGGGAGAAGGCTATTGCAGAGTTCAACCGAGTGGATGACGATTCTCCTACAGTCTTCCTTGTGGGGCTCAGAGCAGCAGGTGAGAGTGCACATTCTCCAAGCATTTTTGTTTTTATTCTGCAGTCCTCTTGGTCTTCGCTTCTACATTTGTTCTTGTTGGTGCTTGGCAGGTGTCGGTTTGAACCTAACAGCTGCCTCGCGTGTGTTTCTGCTTGAACCGTGGTGGAATCCTGCTGTGGAGCAACAAGCAATGGACCGAGTCCATCGCATTGGACAGGTATAAAAGAGTTGGTGATGCTCAAGATTTGGACAAGCTGACACGTATACAGTAAACATTGAATTTTGTGCTTCCGTGCTGCTTTCATGTGCAGGAAAATCCGGTGAATGTCGTGAGAATGGTTGCTGCTGACAGCATAGAAGAACGAATGCTGGTGCTTCAGGAGAGAAAAGGAGCAATTGCACGTGCTGCCTTTGAACGTAGATCCGCTGAAGATCAGCA